CTAGAATTCCTTTGCCTCAAAATTCTTTTTGGAGACTCTTCAACTCTCCCTCCTCTGGACAGCCTTTCAGCCTTTACCTGCACCTCATCAGGTAGCTGTTTGCTCCCCTGGCTCCCCAGCACACACCTCTAACTGAGCATTTAGCACCATAGACTGTAATTTACAGACTGGCACACTTCTCTCTCTTCGGAGACCATGAGCTCCTTGGGCACTGGGTCTAATTCCTATGTCTTTCTTGCCCAGCATGATGCTCAGCACAAAGGAGCTAGTCACTACTCAATATATGATTTTTAAACAATTTAATCAATCAGCACATTTATTTGTGGAGGCTTTACTAGGAGATGGGGAACCTGAGAAAAGGGATGAGCTGGCCTAAGGAATATCTGGAAGGAGGACTCAGGATGTTCCCACCAGGTAAGGGCGGCCCCGAGGAAGACCAGAGGAGTCTGGGGTGGTTACCTTGGATGCCCATCTCCTTGCGACACCACTGGATAAAGTTGGAGACATTGTCTCGTGCCTGGAAGGTGCCCGGCTGGGCGGCCCCATTGCAGAAAACTCCAGCCTGGGGCACAGGGATTCTTTGGGCTTGAGCAGGAGCCTCAGCCAGGAAGTCCAAGGCAGCCTCGGTGACAACGTTGGCATGCCGGCACAGCACCAGACCCGTCTCTAGTACCTGCAGGAAGTTGGCCCTGTCTATGTCCAGTCCGTAGAGGTCCCGCAGCCACTCGGCCAGGTCTTCCTTCATGGCTTCCAGATACTGCTCGCTGGACTTAAAGGGCCGGATGCTGCACACAGGAGGCCCCAGGCTCCTGGATCTCCTCCTGAGCTCCCTGGGCTGGAACATATCTCCACCGTCAGCAGGGGAGGAGGGGGGCCCTCCTTTCTCTCACAGCTGGTCTTCACTCTTGCCACCTGCTGAGTCTTGGCCCTGTCCTCCCTGACTCAAGGGTTCTCCTTCTACCCTCTTTGAGCCCAAAACGTCAGGCTCTGCTATTTGCCACTAGCTTCAGCCCCCAGGCCAGGCCCAGCTCCTCATCCCCCCACATTCCTCAGTGCCTGACAGAATTTTCTCTGTCTTGCAGGGACCTCACTCCCTGAGGAGGTTGGGACACGCCTCTCTCTGCCCCCTCCCCCCCAGGACTGGACAGGTCCAGCTGCCTGCTGTCCACCCCCCACGGGCCACACAGAGCCTGCTGTGGCTGTTTGTCTCTCTACTCTGCTTCCTTTTCCTCTCCTTGGAGACAGTGGCTGCTACAAACACTCCTTGTTAACCCTCCCTGCAGAGCCCGCCCAAGAGCAGATGAAGGGGAAGAGAATCGGGTTGGCTTTTCTCTCACCAGGTTGATAGGGGGGGCTCCTGGGGAACATGGGAGAAAGTCAGGGAGAGAAGTTGTACCTTCTGGTATCTGGTGGATGTGGTAGGATGGGGTGACAGGAACACTGTTCTAAATCCCTGTGAACATTCTCCCCAGTCCCTGTGCCTTAGTTTCCTCGACTGTAAAATAGGAATCATAAGGTATTGTGAGGAATAAAGTGTGTGAAAGTTTAAGGCCATTGGGATACACACATGTGTGTGTGCGTGCACACACACTCAAGCACACGCAGGATTGGGTGGTGTCAGCTCTCAGTGATTTGCCCAGCAGCCTTATCTACACTCACAATTGCCAGTTTCTTTGGAATATCTGCTCTACCTCCCAACCCCCACGCCACCCCTGATTCTAACCATGTGATTCTTCTAGAGCGGGTGGTCAAACACCTCATCCCAGTGTCAGATTACCCAATAAGCAAAGTAAGCATGGGCTTACTTGTGTTTACTTACTAATCCGTAGTGAACAATTTTACATTGTTTCGCCACATCAAAGATTCTGCTTCTAGGTGTGGCTGGCATCTGGCTCTTTCCCAACCCTTTAGCCCCTTCCTATAGAATCAAAGTTTCTTTTAAAATCTGCAGTCCCTGACAGAGTCCCAGTAGTTGAGTAATCTGTAGTGAACAGTTTCACGTGTGGTCTGTGAAACTGTTCACTATAGATAAGTAAGCAGTAATAAGCCCATGTTTACCTTGCTTACTGGAAATTCTACCCTCCTTCACTTTCATGTCCATAATATTCATTCATCCAACAACAGCAAACATTTCTTGAGCATACACTGTGTGTCAGGCACTATTGTCATCCTGGAGATACAACAGTGAACAAAGACCACTTGGTCTCTGGAGGTTACCTACATTTTATTTTAATTTTTGGCTTTTTCAAACAGAAATTGATTTTCTGAGTTTAGGGGGGCTAGCAGTTGAAACGCAGGGTGCTGGCTCTAGGGAAAGCCTTCCTTTCTCTGTCAGTTCTGTAGGGGAAGGTCCTTGTCTCTTCTAACTTGGAACTTCTGACCTGGGTGATCATCATGTGACTTGCCATCTCTCTTCCTTTCTGACTTACATTTTAGTGGGTGATGGGTAACAGATAATAAATAAATCTATAGTAAATCAAGTGGTGTAACTTCCAGGGGTAAAATGGGAACCTAGAGGAGATGAGGGGAGGTACAATATTATATAAGGTTTCAGGAATGACTTCATGAGATATTTGAGCAGAAACCAGAAAGACAGGAGGTAGCAAGCCCTGAGTGTATCTGGAGAAGACGGAATGCTTAGACAGAAGGAACAACCAGGGCAAAGTCCCTAAGACAGAAGCATGCTTGGCATATTCCAGGATTAGCAAAAAGAGGTAGGCTGTGAGGCAGAGAGGAAAAATGGGGGCCCAGCTCATGTAGGGTCTTTTAGTAGCAGGTAACTAAAAACTTTGGCTTTTTCTGAGTGAAATACAAAATGCACTGGAACATTCTGAACAAAGTACTCAAGGGCCGAGTGGAATCCAGGATAACAGTTAGGTCATTGCAGTCACTCGGGCATGAGCTGATTGATGGTGACTTTGACCAGGATGATGACAAATGGTCTCATTTTATATAACTCTCAGAGTTAATAGAATTGGTCGAAAACCTGGTTTCTCAACCTCAGCATTATTGACATTTTGGGCCAGATAATTTTTTGTTGTGTGGGCTGTCAGGGCTGTCTCTGTCATTGTTGGCTGGTTAGCAGCGTCCCTGCCTCTACCTACTAAATGCCAATAGCACCAACTCCAAGTAGTGACAACCAAAAATGCCTCTAGACTTTGCAAATGTCCCTGGGGAGTGGGGAGAACTGGCCCTGGTAGAGAACCACTGCTCCAATCAGAGTCCTTCCTGAGATCTGAGACTTGGAGTTTACAAGGGCAGGTTCTTTTCCTTCTCAGAAAGTTAAGCTTTTAAGGATGTGTCTGGAGCCATGGAGAAAGCCGGTTGGCAATAGACAAGAACAGAGCTGGTATGCAAAGAGAACAGAGAGACCTCTGAGGCTGCTGGAACAGAGAGAACAAAGGACAGAGGGTCCTGACAATGCTGGAACCTTTGGTTCTGTTGTGTTAGGTCAGCCATATGTCTGCCTCTATCAGTTAGGGTCAAGCTAAACTGCTATAATAAAGAGACCCCTAAAACAGTGACCCACACAACAGAGAAATTTAATTCTTTCTCAAAAGTAGGCAGAAGATCCAAGTTCAGCAGGTGACTCTATGCCATGAGGTTTTCCAGAGACCCAGGTTCTTCCTATCTTGTTGCTCCTTAGGCTGTTGCTATTACTAATGTTCCGCAGCATTTGTCCTGCCTTGGGTTGCAGTAAGGATGAGCAGAGAAAGTAGGTTCAATCAACTTCCTTCCGAAGGATGTTGTTGTTATTAAGTGCCATCAACTCAGTTCTGACTCACAGCAACCCTGTGTAGGCTTCCCAAGGAGTGACTGGTAGATTTGAACTGCTGATCTTGTGTTTAGCATTCCAGTGCTTACCCTACAACAGGACACCAGGACTCCTTTTAAAGGATATGATGTGGAAATTGTACACATTTCTGGCCAGCATGTAGTCATTTGGCCACAACTAGCTTCAAAACCAGTGATGATGAAATTAAAGAATTCTACCAACTTCTTCAGTCTGAAATTGATAAAAAAATATAATTAAGATATATTGATAATTACTGGCAATTGCAATGAAAAGGTTGGAAACAAAGAGGAAGGACCAGTAGTTGGAAAGTATGACTTTGCTGATAAAAACGATGCTGGAGATCACATGATAGAATTTTATAAGACTAATGACTTGTTCATGGCAAATACCATTTTTAAATAACAGAAAAGATGACTACACACATGGCCCTAATCAGATGGAATACACAGAAATCAAATTGACTACATTTGTGGAAAGAGGTGGTGGAAAAGCTCCATATCATCAGCCAAAACAAGGTCAGGGACAGACTTTGAAACAGTCTCATATACAAGTTCAGGCTGAAGATGAAAAATTTTAAAAATGTGATCTCTAGTTGGCAGCCACCTACCCTACAAGTATTCAGTGATGATTCCTTTTGGTAAAAGAAGAGGTCGAAGAGAAGGGGACAGTTAATAGTCACAACCATATTGCCTTTAGTAGACTTTGCTTAAAGGGTCAGATAGTAAATCTTTTAGGGTTTGAGAGTCATATGCTGCATGTGTCACTTATTCTTCTTTGTGTGTGTGTGTGTGTTTTCTTTAATAGACTTATTATTTACATTTGGTACATAGTGTTATATCTACCGCAAACAACCCAAACACCACCTGTGCCCCTGCTAGCATGCATCCCCTAGGGGAATCATCCCTGCTGGCTCCTAGTGGACCACACAAGTATCCTATAGCCCATGCAAACCTGCCTCAGTAGTCCCCTATCTACTTTGTTCTTTCTTCCTTCTCTCTTTCTTGTGTATTGTCCTCCCCAACACTGTAACTATGATGTGTCTCTCCCCTACCCTGTGTCTACTGTGTCCTCACCCCATAACCAATAAATAATTTTTTTCTCCTTTTAATATGTATATCTTTTCTTAAGCTTTTACAATAATGGTTTTAGGAAATATTTCTCCTTTTGTGACTAATTTCACTCAGCATAATGCCCTCAAGGTTCATCCATGTTATGTGGCAGCTTGCAGCTTCCTTGTTATTCTTTTTGTGTGTTTATTATTATTATAAAATTTTATCTTATAGCTTTTTTTATTTTTAAGTATAAGAACCATTCTTAGTTTAAGTGTCCTACAAAAGCCACCTGTATGCCAGATTTTCATATTTAATGGACAGTAGTTTGTTAACCTCTGGTTTAACATGAATTAATAAATTCCTTTTTGTCTTTTTCAGGTAGGCATATTTATCTATTTGGTTGTTTTTTTTGTTTGTTTGTTTTTGTTTTTAACTACTCAGGATATAAATGGTAAATGGAAGAGAATTGAGATAGGCATCTAGTGAATTCTGAATATTTGTTGAGTGGACATAGTTTTCATTTGAAAGATATAATGAAATAGAATTTGAGCTTGGTGAAATGGAAAATTGTGTGTTCATACTTTTGCTAGGTCAGAGAACATCCTAGTCTGTCAGAAGGCACAGATGGGGCAGTGGCAACATCCATTATTATTAAACTCATTTAAGCTGGTTTGCTGTCAGTTACATTTAAAATGAATATATAAGAAAAAAAATTAAGTTAAATAAATGGTGATCTTGTCTCCCACCTGCTCCTACAGATTTTACCTGTAACCTATAAATGAGTCCTGGTTTGGTAATGTAGGATAAGTACTGCACTGCAAACCACAAGGTTGGTGGTTCAAACCCACCAGTGGCTCTGTGGAAACCCTATGCAGGGTTGCTGTGAGTTAGAGCTGACTTGATGCCAACAATATAAAGGACAGTTCTGTTTTATAATCCAGCTTCTGAGCCCCCATGTTTGTTGGGGGAGTTCCCCACCATAGATTCTGGTTCTCCCTCTGGGGTCCTGTCATGTTTTT